AGACGGGGTGGGACCAGTAGATGTATCTTAGATGACCCTTGCAGGCTTTTAAGACCCTAGACACTGCTTCCCACAGTTGGCTATAGAATATTTTGTTTATAAACTGTGTTATGCCAGTTGAGCTAGATGTCCCGAGACCATGGTCCCCAGCCCTCAGCCCAGTAACTCGGTCTCTCGGAGTTTGGATATGTCTAAGAAGCTTCTATGACTTTGCCTTGATCAACTTGTGCTGACTTCCTCAGTATTGTGTACTGTCTTAACCTTCACCAGAGTTACTGCTTATCTAGTATTTAGTTAGTGCTTTTCCCTCCCCACCCATCCCCTCCTTTGTAACCATCAAAGATTATTTCTTTCTGTGTGTCAACCTTTTCTTGAGTTTTTATAATAGTGGTCTCATACAACATCTGTCCTATTGTGATTGACTTATTTTCCTCAACAAAATGCCCTCCAGATTCATCCACGTTGTGAGATGTTTCACGGATTTTTCATTGGTCTTTATTGTTACATAGTATTCCATTGTGTGTATATACCATAGTTTATCTGTTCATCTGTTGATAGGCACTTAGGTTGTTTCCATCTTTTTGCTGTTGTGAATAATGCTGCAGTGTACATGGGCATGCGTATGTCTATTCATGTGACAGCTCTTAGTTCTCTAGGATATATTCCTGTGAGTGGGATTGCTGGATCGTATGGTATTTTCTGTTTCTAGCTTTTTAAGGAAGCACCATATTGTTTTCCAAAGTGCTTGTACCTTGTTACATTCCCACCAGCAGTGCCTAAGAGTTCCAATCTCCTGCAGCCTCTCCACTATTTGTTATTTTCTGTTTTTTTGATTAGTGCTTTCATCATGGTATCTCATTGTAGTTTTGTTTCTCTAATGGCTAACAATCGTGAGCATTTCCTCATGTGTCTGTTAGCTGCCTGAATTCCTTCTTTGGTGAAAGTCTGTTCGTATCCTTTGCCCATTTTTAAATTGGATTATTTGTCTTTTTGTTGTAGAGGTGTTGGATTTTC